CTTGCATGAGAAAAATAACACACACTCACTTATACAGTATTTCTTTTTCTTTTTTTTCTTTTTTTTGAAAAACTGAATTATAGACCTGTATAGCGTCAAAACCATTTTGCAAGTGTTTGTGTTTACAGTGAGACTTTGCTGATTTATGGGTCATTACAATTGGCTATGATCCTGGGTGGAGAATGCACACAAAAGCACACAAACACACACACAGTGAGTGGTCGCTCCACGTCCGCCCCAGGAATGGTTGAATTGAGAAGTTGTCTATTCACAAATGACTATTTTTTAACTGTTTAAAGAACCACTTAATGGACATGCCAGATGGGATGTTGCCAGTGAACATAAGCTGACCGGTACTAACCTAGACTTTGTTTTTGGGGTTTGCGATCAGGCAGTTGGATCGAATGACCACAGTTTGGTTCATTTTGGGCAAATGTAGCAGAAGCCTGCAACCCTAAACTACTAAAACAAAATGTAGGTACCCGTAATAAAGAAAAAGTTTCTTAAAAAAAAATTGCTTTAACATTCATCTGAAGCTTCTTTTTTTTTTCTTGTTTGGAAGGAAAGCATAAAGGGGATTATTTTATCCAATGATACGCTTTAAAGCGCCAACTTAAAAGCTTTGGTCTCGTGTGAAGGTGAAATTTGTTTGTTCTTGATAAACATTTGTCTCACACTCCACCCCCTGAGGGAGGCTTAGAAAATATTTGAATGGACTTTGATTATAATGTGTATCTTCTATTTCCACTATTTTTTTTTCAAATTGATCCCAATAGTTTCTTGAGGCAACAGGATTTAAGAATATTGGTGAAAGTACCATAAGCCACCACCAACCAGGACAGTTGGAACAGTTGGGAACACGTCGTGCCACCTAAGTGGATTTTTCTTTTTTTTTTTTTAACTCCATGACGTGTTATCTTTTTTCTAGACTAATTCCAAATTTTTAACAATGACATTAAAATCCTAAAATAGGATCGCAGATTCACATAAGATTCCTCTAAAATTCCTCTAAGAGGAATTCCTCTAAAAATAATGGAAAATAAAAGAACGTAGCTTTGTCCTACCAGGCAAAACAATTCGAATTAGAATGATTATCGGTTAAGGTAAGTGTTTTTACTCCCTGGTTGGTTAGGTATTTACCAATGTGATTTACAAATATAACTGTCACAAAACAGCTGAGATTAAGCTAATGATGCTCCTGTAAAATCCTGTGGCTTTATTCTGCTTGCTAGCCAGCTAGCAACCTGCTAATACTTGCGAATTATGCTTTATTTCACAAAATGTTCTTTTTATTTTCTACAGGGTTCTTTCTTTATACTCCAGCTGATTCTGGGAAGGTCATAGCCAATCAGAGGCACTCGGATGGCACGCTAGCAAGCTGTCAGTTCGCAAATCTTTGGACCAAGGACACTAATAAACTCATTTTGAAGCCAAAACCGAAGTATGTTCTGTCAATATGTATTTGTGAAGCAGATTATTGGCCAACAAAGGTAATGTTAAAGAGTACAAAGTGCAAGTTTAGGATACAACATGCTAGTTTCCTCAGTATTTGACGCTCTGGTGTTGTTCGTTTTAAAAGCATTGCTGAAGCAGTTAATTCAGGAAGTCTTAAAATCCAGCTAAAATCGAATAAAAATGGTTTTCCTTTGCCTTAACTTGGGAAAGCCACTGGCCGAAACAGCTATGTTTATATAACATGTTCTGGTTGTCCCATCTAGCATTTCCACATACAGGTGATGAGGTAAGTCTCATTCATCACTGTGCATCAGCTTCCTGTGTTAAATAGATTCAATTAGCTCTGAGGGATTGATTATTTTCACCCCCAAGCTTCCAAAAAGTACTGAACTACATCCATCACGTGCTTCCAGCCACAACGTAGTTGAATTATAGTTAATCTCATTATTGATGCAAGTGGTTTACCATTAGGCAGTTCCATCAATGCAGTAATAGAGCGAAAGAGAGCAAGAGAGGTGGTCGAGACTTTTTAACAGGAGAGTTATACCTTGGAAAACATTTGATTTGTTTAATTCAGTATTCTAAAAAGAGGTAGCTGTTTTCCTAAACGCATGACACAACTGCCAATATGGCTTTTTTCAGAGGGGAAAAAAAAACAACGTAGCCAGATTTCTGATTTCTGTGTTAGTCATACTTCGCCCAATTTTCTGCCATTTCCCCGTTTTCATTTTTTTCACCTCTGAAAATGTTTCAATTTGAGTTGTTTTCTCAAATAATTCAAAGCCCGTCACTTCTCTTCTTCTCTCTGCTTGTTGACAGTGGATTTTTGTACACAGTAAAATGCAGCTGGACATTATTGCAAAGGAGTTTTTTGTTAAAAAAAAAGGCTACCCCGCCCCCTCTAAGAGTAAAACCCAAAGCCAGAGACAAGGGTTCCACCATCTTTGACAGAAACTTTAGGGGCTGTGTTTTGCTAACAATGGCTGCAATAACAACTGATTGTTTTTCCGTTTGTTTTTTTCCTGACAAGTAAAAAAAAAAAGAAAAAAAAAAGCTACAAGAAATTTTTGATTTGCAAAAAAAAACTTAACATATTTTCCTGTGCATCATCTTCAAGGTGATGTTCTTTGCTTTTGTCTGTTGTTGTGACTTATTTGGTAAAAAGCACTGACTCAGAAGTAACTCCCAGTCAGTGCAGGAACAACCTGTATTTTGTTTGAGTTTCCCTCTTTTGGTGTAAAACTACACGCCACGCAGTCTCCATAAATGATTTTCCCAAAGCCAGTACACCTCCTACGAACGAATATCAGCAATGTGCCAATGGCTTAGTCATGGCAACTTATTCTGAGGTTGCACAGAGGAACATAAGCCTGAAAACAATCTCTGTAGAAGATTTAAATGGAGTTAGAGGTTGGGAATAATCGCCTCTCTTGCTCATTCGCATCACATTCAATTTACATCAGGCTAGCTCCTCGGTGCTGAAGTGTTAATGACATTAGCGGGATTTAACTTACAGGATGCCTTTTCAGTAGGAAATAACTGCCCAGATGACGGTGTGTGGTGATTGTGACCTGAGGTTGCATTGGAGCACGTCTCGCCTGGCGTTTCCATTTCACGCCACGTCACCTCGCCTCTCTTGCTTCTCATTAACCAACCAAGAGCCCTCAGGAGCCCTGAGGCAGTGCTCAGTGTGTATGTGAGTGAAGGGAAAGAAAAAAGAAGAAAAAAAACAGCAACTGCTGACAGGCTGCAAGCAGGGAAGTGAAAATGGAAGGCATACAGCACAAACCAGGCGATTGTAGGCTTGGTGATGCTTTGTTTAACACCTACATTATAGACTTTTCTTTTCTAGCATCTTCTATGGGCTTTAGCTACACCCCCTTGAACGTGGGACAATGCATAAATATGTAAAATAGAAAGCAATTATGTATTTTTTTAATCATAGTCATTTAAGGTGAATTTTTTTCTATTTTTCTTCCTTTTTTTGTGCGTCAGGCCTAACTTGAACAAACTGCATCCAACTAAACTTCTCCTGATAAAGAATTACCTTTTATGGATTGTGGTCAGATGGCTAATGTATAATCAATTGAGCAGTGGAGCCAGAATGCTGTCTCTAAATTTAGAGGCTTCAGCAGTGCTATGCAGATGCTGGTAAACAAGGAGGTCGGTTTTACCTTAAAAAATAGTTTCAGAAACAGCCTCTTTCCCATCTTCTAATCTTTGAATAATCTGCAACCCTAGACATTAGCTTTTATTTAAAGAAAAACCTTAAATACACCCTATTATGTTTAGTTTTTCTCATTAACCCACTGCACTGTGAAGGCTGTGAACCTTTCATAGAGCAAAAATAAACTCCAATCAAGCCAGAATAGTCTTTTAAGTCCCGCTCACCCATTCCCCATCAAGATGGTATAGAGAACAACGTAGCCTACTTTCCACACACACACACTCGCGCACAGCAGAGAGCATTCCCAGGGTAGCGGCGCTATGCAGTGGAGCTGTCCTTGGTGCTGAATTCAGCTCTCTGCTTCACAGTCACGGCCCCGCAGCAAGCTGTGAAGCCCGTTTTTTCTTTAACGCCGAGCAGATTTGATTTCATCACGCCAAGGACAGCACACACCAGCCTAAATATGGAAATCCCTCCCTGAGTTTGGCAGACAAGTGGGGTTTATCTAGGCGGTAGAAATGCCGCTACGTCAGATTTTCATACTGAATGTTTCAAGAGGGGGAAGTAACGCATTGGCTGGGGCTAAATGGGACTTGTGCTGTCGGCATTGGGAAAATTCATGATGGACTCAGCATGAACAGCATGTAGTTTTGTTGTCAGAGTTGGATATTTTTGCACTCTGACTACAGACTGATTAAGTTCTTAATCTGCATCAGATAAAGGGAACATGGCTGTGTTAACATTGAGAAAAACTACAAAGATAGCTCATTGAGACCGCTGACGGTCATTCATTTCATATATTTAGCTCATTGTATTTTTGTCCACCCACCGCTGAATTTAGAACACCTCGGTGAGAGCACATAAAGTCTTTTTTTTTAAGACTGTTTAACTCCCTATGATTGCATAACCATTCAGAGCCGTACAAGCTCTGGTCCTCCAGGCATTTAGTACATTTCTTCCTAAATTTCAATCCATTTACATATATGCTACGCTTGAGAGACACCCCTGTTTTCCCTCAGTTTGGAGTTGTAAAAGCCATCTGAAATGGCCCTTGCCAGCTCCCCGAAAACTATCTCAAGGCAAACTTTTGCAGATCGTTTCATGCCATGTTTTTTTATCACTGTTGGTTGTCTCCAAGAGAATACAGGACAGAATCATCATTACCTTCAGATTTTTTTTACCATGTGCTGTCCTCGATCATCTGCTGGTGCTACTTTGATAGTGGCCAGCTCAACATTCGTCATCCGCCTTCCAGCCTTGATGTGAGTAGAAGAACCATTATCCTAAATCTTTCCTCCTTGTCGTCTCTTCTGCTCAATCCTGTCCGGTTGTAGATGACTCTGTTTCTAGCATCTAACAGAGACATTACAATTCTTTGCTACACATCACTGGAGGTTCTGGGTCTTAGGGAAAGGTTGGATGGGACGCATCCGCAGCAAGCCATCCACAACGACTTCTGGATGTCGGGGTTTCGGAACGCATAGATGATAGGGTTAATCACAGAGCAGCAAGTGGCAGGGAGGACTGTGGCGTACGTGTATATGACAGGATAGCTGGAGTCAGCCACAATGGAGTACATGGCGAATGGCAGCCAACACGCCCCAAAGGCACACAAGATGGCCGACAGTGTGGAGACGCCTTTGGTGGTGGAGATGGCCACGAACTGGTGCTGCACCGCGATCTGCTGCGCGTGGCGGAACGCGATCTTACAGATCTGAAGGTAGAGCTGCATCATCAACGCAAAGACCAACAGGAAGGTGACGGCGAGCGCCACGGCATTGTTTTTGGTGACGGGTCGGCAAATGCTGCACGTGGACTCGTCTCTCAAGCAATTCCAGCCGAGCGCCGGCAGCAATCCCAGCAAGAGGCACGACACCCAGATGAAGACCACCATCACGTAGGTGAAGGTAACTGTCCGTTCGGTGTGGTAGGTCAGGGCGTTGTAGAGCGACAGGTATCGGTCAACCGTGATGGCGAGGATGTTGAGGACGGACGCCGAGAAGGCTGAGATGAGCAGTGCGACGGACAACAACGTCACAAACTCCACGGAGCTGTCAATCAGGTAGGTGAAGATAAAGTTCAAGATGAGGCCCAGGCCCGCCAGAAGATCTGCCACCGCCAGGGATCCAATCAAGATGAACATCGGAGCGCGTAGCGTCGGTGTGTAGAACAGCACAGCAATAACCAGAGCATTCTCACAGGAGATGAGTGTCCCCGTCACACAAAGGGCGATATCCCAGGGGCTGACTTCTTGGAAAGTGACGGCGGTAGTCGCCGGCTGGAGCTCAGGGGTCAGAGTTCGTACAACAGGCTCGGTGGACACATTGGAAGGGTCCTCGCCTAAGCTCCAGGTGGTGGAGGAGTCAAAAGCATCGAGGGAAGAGTTGAAGCTGCTACCGCTGCCGCTACTCATGGCTGCTGCGGCGGTCAGGGAGAGAATCATAGCTGGAGAAACAGGAGAGAAAACGGAAGAGAGGGGAAGATGTAGATAAGAGGACATGTGGGCAAGAGGGAAGAAATTGATTCGGGGAAGAGTAGGGGAATAGGTAAGATTCGATGTGAAAGAAATGGGAATGAACAAGGGGATAAGGAGCTTTCTCTAGAGGTAAAACATATGAAAAAGAACAAGGGATCGCACAATGCTGAAAAACAGCAACGAAGGGTGTAACTGATAAGGAAACGTAAAAAAAAATGTAAGCGACAACACCTGAAGCTCATCAAGTGAGTAACCAGTGGAGATGGCAAGTTTTTTAATAGACGACAAAGAAAAAATAGAAACGGCTGAGGAAAGGGAGTAAAAAAGGGACTGTGAGACGGGGTGTGAAATAAAAGACGGATTCAGGGAGAGAGAGAAGGAGGGGGAAAGAAGCATCACCAGCCGTCCCCCCTTTGATGAACGGGAGAAGTAAACATTATTCCAGCGATTTACGTGCAGTCAGACATTCATTCATGGAAACAAACCGTGGACCTGACCCCAAAGCATCACATCAACGGCGGTTCCCAATCACATCGCTGACAGTCAATTAGCACGATCACAACACCAGTGGCAGACAGGCACGCACACGGAGAGGCAGAAGTATTCCACAAATGATGGACTTATCCCTTCCATTTTGGCTTCAAGACAAAGTGACACACACTCACAAGATAAACAACACAATTAGTCAACTGACAGCCTCCATCTTCTGAATTCCTACCTGTGGGGTGCCGGATGGAGACGAAGAAGAGGCTTTTTCTTGCAGTCAAAACCATCATCAACTAATTCTATTTTTAGAGCATCTCTAAAAATGGTGCATGACGTCCTGGGGCACGGCGCAGCGCGAGCTGCTGTTCTATTCACTGGTGGCGTGTTGGAGCGCGCGAACAGACAGGAGCGCGTGCGCGCGTTTCTAGCTCCACGCTTGTATTTTTATAATTTTTTTTTTTTTTTTTAATCTTATCTTTTTTTTTATATCTTTTTCCGCAAATGGTGCTGCTGCTGCTGCTGCTGCTCCGCGCGAAGTCCGAGCAAAAGAAGACGGAGAGATTATTTTTTCAAAATGTGCCACGGTGCTAATTTTAGCTCAGCCAGTCAAGCAGGCAGCACTCGCGCGCGCCACAAGGATGTGGAGCTCCATTCATAAAAAAAAAAGAAAAAAATCGCCCCTTG